TTTTCTGGTAGATATAAATAACATTAAAATTTTAAAAATTAATATATTTTAATATTTTTTTATTAAATAATTTTAATAATTTTCTTTAGCTGCAAAATTTATATTGCCTCCATTTGCCCCCTCCAGAGCCAGCTGCAGCTACCAGGTTTCTACTGTTTGCCTTATTACTATGCTAAGGGAAGAAAAACATCTTATCTGCAAAAACACAGTCATATTGCCCTCACAAATAAAAGTTTTCATGAAAATCAAACTAAAACATATTGGCAGAACACATTAAATTTATCTTAAATTTAAGACACCAGGCCTTATTATACATATTATCAGTAAGATTTTTTTACAAGTTAACTCTTATTTATTTTGATAGTAGACCATCTAGCACTATGCAAGAGTTTTAGCTCAATATTGTATTGCCTAAACTAGACAACACACTCACCAACTGAATACTTAATATTTATCCCTTCTATATCTGGCTTTTCCTAAATATAGCTCTCTTGCACCTGTTTCTCAATTATTGGGCAGAAACACATGATAATTATTTCTGTATGTCCCACAAAGAGATAAAGTTAATTATAACAAAAAATTTAAAATGCATGCAGTGAAGAGAAAAACTGCCTTATCAAGACAATTGTGCTTCAGTGGGACTAAATAATAGGTTATTGGAAAAGAAAAAGATGACTCATGCTGAAGTTATTCTGTTGAAATCATTAGACTTTTTAAAAAAAATAATTTTAACATAGGGAAACCATGCAATAACTGTTACTAATTGTTATGAAATTCAGATAATGCCAATATGAACTATGAAATACTTTTTAATATATATAGTATCTAAAACCAAGTCAAAATGAGACTTTGTAGAGCCTTTCAGATATCTGCTTTGACAAATAGATTAAAAGTATTTATAGTTACCAAATGTTTTATGTACATGTAGAGAATTGCTTTTAAAAAGCACTTTGAAATTCTTGAAAATATCTTACATATTTTCTTTAAACAAGGTTTAAAACTTGTTATCTTTTTTGACAATTTGGTTTAAAAGGTTTTTTATGAATTAGGCATAGACATAAACCTTAATCTAATCCAAATCTGAATTACTAAAAATCCCAAATTTTGTAAGTATTAGTAGTAAATTATACTGTGGAGAAGAAAGATACTACCCATAGTAAAATTGTATGGTTTTCAGGGATTGGCATCAAATTTTTCTGAAAGAAAAGATAAATTAAGAAATCTCTCCAAAGTGTCACAACATTTATTGTATCTACATAAACTCCATTTAAATTTAACTTCTATTTACCTCTCTTTGCTAAAAGAGAAAAAATATTAGCATAAACAAAATTGAAAGAAATACAAATATTTATCTACATATCTATATCTGTATTTGTAAATGTTAAATGAAACCTGGAGTGAGGCTATTGATATATGAGATAGCAGAAAAGAACTTTACCGAGGTCCTGGGCAGAAAAGAGGCCCCAAGGAATAAGGCCATTGTTATGGCCTGAGGTGTGTCTCCTCAAACTTCTGATGTTGAAGTCCTAACCCTCAGTACCTCAGAATGTGACTGTATTTTGAGTACAGGGTCTTTAAAGAGGTAATTAAGTTAAAATGAGATCTTTAGGGTGGACCCTAAACCAATATGACTGATGTTCTTATAAGAGGAGGAAATTTAGACACAGACAGTTATAGAGAGAAGACCACGTGAAAAAGACAGAGAACAGACAGCCACCTCCAAGCCAAGGAGAGAAGCGTGAGAAGAAACCAGCCTTCTTACAACACACAAAAAAGTAATTATGTGAGGGGATGGAGGTATTAATTAATCTTATTGTGGTGTGGGAGATCAAAATTGGCCACCCTGAAATATGTCTCTTTACCTTGATTATTTTCTCTGACGGACATTTGACCTCCCCCACTAACTGCCTAAAGGAATTTAACTCTAGGTATGGACAGACTGGCAGGGTCCTCGCTGAGCCCATTCTTATCAAAAATTCTGTCTCTCCCCAGCCACATTCTCTAGGTGGCCCTGTAAAAGGGTTGTCAGACAAACATTTACATTTGTAAAGGCATTTCCCTCTGTGTACTGGGAAGAGAGGGGGATGATCTTATCTCTGGAAACTCTCATCAGGAGGGAAGGAGAGGATTTAAATCTACACACCCTTGATTGCTGTGCTTTCTGGTAATCCCGCAGAGCTGTGTCCTACCCCACCCCAATATCCTCCTTTGTCTACCTGAACATGCTATTGGTTTCTACCATATATACATGTTATTAAACTTGGTATTATTTTCTCCTGCTAACCTGTCTTTTAGTTATTTGGCCAGCCATAAGAATCTTGTGGGAAAGGGCAGAGGGGGATTCTCCCTCTTCCCCAACAGTGGTAATCATTTGGCAATATATATGTATATCAAGTTGTACACCATAAACTTACACAATATATCAATTATATGGCAATAAAGCTGGAAAAAAAATTTTAAAAAGAAAAAGAAACTAACCCTGCTGATACCTTGTCTTGGACTTCTAGCCTCCAGAACTGTGAGAAAATAAATTTCTGTTGTTTAAGCCATCCAGCCTGTGGTACTTTGTTATGGCAGCCCTAGCAAAATAATACAAACTAATACAGACTCCATAGATAGCTACTTATTCAGAGGGCTGGTCAGTGTCCCAGAATGTAAGTAAGCATTCAGAACATTTTACTTAAAGGTAACCATAGAGGTAGTACAGACATAAACAGCCACATCATCGTACCATTAACAATGACAATGGCCTTTGGGCTTCCAGCCAATGTTACCTATAAGACTGTCTCTTGCAGCAAATATCCTGAGGGTACTTGGGCTCAACTAAGGAATTCCTACAAGCACTCTCTAGTTCATCACAGGGCTAAAAGTCAAGGCATTTCCTATAAATGCGATTTCTTTCTTTTTTTATCTGTTAATGTTACTCAGATGTTTCATCAAGTCTTAAATAAGACTAGTGGATATTTGCCACTTGGTGCTATATTGAAAATGGAACTCATCCTTTTCATTAAAAAATACTTAATCCAGGGGCTGGCCAGGTGGTGAAGCTGTTAAGTTCGCGTGCTCTGCTTCGGCGGCCCCGGGTTCACAGGTTCAGATTCTGGGTGAGGACTTATACACCCCTCATCAAGCCATGCTGTGGTGGCGTCCCATATAAAGTAGAGGAAGATGGGCATGGGTGTTAGCCCAGGGCCAGTCTTCCTCAGGAAAAAAGAGGAGGATTCACAACAGATGTTAGCTCAGGGCTAATCTTCCTCACACGCACAAAATGCTTAGTCCATGTAACTATTTTTATTATTACATAAATTTTGAGCATGGCAGTTCTTAAGCAATGTTCTAACAGTACAGCATTCAGTAGTCAACTCAAAAGCACTTAACTATGTACCATCTTCAAAGGGATTTCTCTGGCAAAGACAGATTTGGGTCTAAACTAGTGCTCCTCAGTGATGAGAGAATTCAATATTGAGAAAAAAAGCAAAACTGAGTTAAGATAATACTTTTGAGCCCTTTATGCAGAATGTTTCTCTCCCTACTTTTACAGAGGATATAATTTCCTCTGTGGTGTTTTATTTTTGGATAATCCATATACCTCAGCTAAAAGATTCGTATTTTTCACCAACAAACTAGCAAGGTCAGGACGGACTGGGTCAGCTGCCTTTTTGTTGTACATGCTTGGGTTCTTGGGTGGAACCACTTCAAGAGGTGGATCAAAACAAGCCTACAAAGAGAAAGTGCAAATTAAGTAATTAAATATGTACCCTATAGATCAAAATCCACAGTGTTCTCTAGCCCAGACAAACTCAAATAAGTAGCTCTAAATAGGATACAACTTTAAAATATTCATTTTGAGGTGCTACCCTAACAAATGCAATAGGTCTCAGGAAAATAGCAAGTAATATGTTGACCTAAAAGGCTACTTTACATTTTTCTAAGAATTCTTACCTGACAATTTATTTATAACACCAGCCACAAGTAAATTAAGTACATCTAAATACACTTTATTTCTGAGTGTATAGGAATCAAGAAAACAGATATAAAATGTCTGGGGAAATTTTAACTCACATCTAATAAAATCTTTCTAGAAACTCGAACTATTAGTAGAAGGTCATTGATGAAACATTTACCAGTATTTGTTTTATTTTTTATTACAAATCAATTCCTCATACAAATTGATTTTTTTTAAAAATCTGATTTCAGTAAATCAACATCAATTTTCTGTTCCTTCCACACCTATATTGAGGGTAAAAATTAGGGAGTATTTACCTGTATTATAATATCTCCTCCTATTGTCAAAAGGGTGTGCCATGTTCTAAATTGTAATTAGCATAACTTTCAATAAGAATAAAGTTTATATGATTCAAATAAAACCAAGAAAAACATATTAACCTAATTCTCTAAAAAGTATATAGATGTATCACATGGTGTTTAATGTACTAAAAGAATGAACGTATTTTTCTAAAGTTATCAGGTTTTAAAATTTTATACTTACCAAGATACTAAGAATGAAGACTTGCACAAGAGAATACAAAACAACTATGTTTAAAAGTTTAAAGAAATAAAAGAGAACTTTCAAAATATGAGTAAGTTGTAAGAGACTACAAAGAATAAACATATTGGGAAAACAGCCAAATAAGACTTCTAAAAATGAAAAGTATAATAATTTTAATTTGAAAATTGAATGGACACATTAAAAAGCAGATTAGACCTAGCTGAAGAATGAGTGAACTTAAATATAAATATGAAGGAGTTATCAAGAAGACAGCATATAGGAAAAAATAAATGGTAAATATAAAAGAGAGTTTAAAGACAGAATAAAATGAGGTCTATCATATGTCTAATTAGAGTCCAAGAAGGATATAATTTAGAGAATGGGGAAGAGGCATTATTTGAAGGAATAATGTCTGAGAATTTTACAGAATTATTGAAAGATCCTGATCTAAGTGGTCTAGCAAGTCCCAAGAAGAGTAAATAAAAAGAATTCCTTAACTACACACTCATAATGAAGTTGCAGAAAAGAGATCTAAAAAGCAGCCAGTGGAAAGGACAGATAATTACAAAGAAATAGTAATTACACTGGTGAGTGACTTCTCAACAGTAACACAGAAGCTAGAAAACAGCAGAATATGTGTAATGTATGAGAAAAAGGTCTTTCATCGATTCTATAAGGCATAAATTTTCACATTTCTGCAATTGGAGTGCAACTTAAAGTTGATGTCACTTCGTATTGTGGAAAGTTTAGCTGGAAATATACTTTTAAATCTCATAATGGTGCATAAAATAGTAGTGTTTCTTCAAATCAAGGAAATATGGTAACTGCTATCTAGAATGTTATACTGAATGAAATTATGTTTTAATATTAAGAGTAGAATCAAGACATTTTAGACAAACAAAAATTGAATTTACCACCAATAGGCTCTCACTTAAAATTCTAAAGGATGTATTTCACATAGAAAGAAAATACACTAACAAAATCTGAGATACAAGAAAGAATAAGGAATAAAAAATAGTAGTAAATAAATAGGTAGACTTAAGCATTAATTAATTTTAAAAATCTGGTTTATGGGGTTGAAAATAAAAGAGAGAACCAACACAGGACAAAAAAAAATGCATATACATTGAGAATAGAGAAATAGTTTAAAGCTCTATAAAATCTTCAGGTTTCTCAGGAGTAACATAAAGATTTCAGTTAACTTTGTTAAGTATATATGTTAAAATACCTAACATAACCACTAAGACAATAGCCATATAGCATATAACTTCAAAATTAATAGAAAAGGAAAAAATGGAATGAGAAAAAAGAAGACAAATACGACAAAACAAAAACATAATCTGTTTTTGGCATAACAGAAGTTGGCAAAAGGAAACAGAAAAAAATGAGACATAGAATAAACATAATATGATGGTAGAAATACATCCAAACAATCAGTATTATCAATAAATGTAAATGGACTAAACTTTCCAGTTAAAAGCAAAGATTATCAACATTATTCAAAAAAGCAAAAACTGAAAACAATCCACATGTCAAATAAGAGTTTAATAGATAAATAAGTTATGGTATATTCATATAATAGAATACTACAAAATGATGGAAATTATTGAATAATTGTACATACATCAATATAAATCTCACTAAGCAAAAGAAGCAAGGCACAAAAGAATAAAAACAGTATAATTTCATTCATATAAACTTTTAAAAGATAAAACTAATATTGATTAGGGATACACATATGGGTGATAAAACTAGGAAGAGAAGCAAGAGAAAGATTGATACAAAATTCAAAATATCTATTATTTTAAAGTTTAGGCAGGAGGAAAGGGATTCAATCAGGAAAGAGGACACCGGAAGCTTCTAAGATACCAGTAAATTCTATGAAACTGGGTGGTGGGTTCATAGACATTCATTTTATTATCTAATGTGTGTATATATTTTATAGTTCTTTTCTATGTATGACATATTTTTTAAAATAAATCCATACACAAAACAAAACTACATATTCTTAAAAGATGGCATATATATTCAAAGACATATATCAAACACATTAGATTGAGACAAGATAAAAATGGAGATGATTGAGAAAAAAATAAAGTGAGAGGGGCCTTGCACAGAAAGATGATAATGTACCATGAACTAAGTATGATTAATTTGATAGTGTACCTGAGATCTAAAACAAAAGTATAAATTAATTAAAATGTGCCAAGTGTCTTATTTAGTACATCACAATATCACTAAGATTTCAAAACCAATAATAAAAAGAAAAAATAATTTATATCCAATTAGGCTTTTAATTTATAAAAATAAGAAATATTCAACCTACAACTTATTTTTGCAGACAAGTTCTTTCAAATACAGCTTGAAAAGTTTTCTTATTTCATAGTTTAGAAGAAATGGACAAGGAAGTATGCTGTATAAGGATCCTCACTTCAGCTTGTTTATATAAGAAAAAATTAAAATGTATAAAAACTGTGATATATTAATATAATTTATAATGGGATTCTATGCAACAGTTAACATGCACAGACTACATATATGTGAATCAAAAACAACTACTCTCAAAAACATAAGACTGAGTGCAAATAGCAAGGCAGAAAATTATATCTAATAGAATACTATTTATGTAATTTTTTAAATGCCCAAAACAACACTCACATACATGTAAGGAGCATTCACATACATGTAAGTATTAAAAACATGGACATAAAGGCTATACACTTAGTTCAGAATAGTTATCTCTGAAGAGGAAAAAATAAAAAAGTTCCGGGATGGTCACTAGTACTTTCACACAGGCTTGTAATAGCAGCTGCCCTAACACCCCCATCTGTCACCACCCCAGACCCTGGGTCCACTCACCTCCTCCATAACCCAGTAACCAAGATGGCTAACGCTCAACAGCAGAGGCCCCAGGGCCTGCCCTAGTGCTAGGAGTGGCAAAGATTCTTACTGGTTGATGTCTGATGCTATTTGTTAAATTTATTTATATCATTCATCCCAAGAGAAGACAAAGGGATCAAAGGTTACAAAACAGCCTTGAATTGTTACCAGTGAAGTTTTATTTCTTAAAAAAATAAGTGGAGCAAATTTGAGGGAAAAAATGCCAAATTTAAATTTGCATGGTGGGTACATAGGTATTATATTAATCTCTGTACTTTTCTGTATGTTTGAAATTAAATACAAAAATTAAAATTTACAAACATAACCCAAGTAACTTTTAAAATCACAAAATACAAGGACACTATCAGATGACAAGAGCCATTTTATGGTGCTATATTATAGTTATAATTCAATTTGGATTTTAATATATATTAGTCCCAAAGAAAACATAAAATGTTATTTTTAAATTTACTTATTGCAAACTCAAGCTTTTTGTTTTAGAATTGATTTAAAATAAAGTTCATAGAGGCTGGCCCCATGGCATAGCAGTTAAGTGTGCATGCTTCTCTGCTGGCAGCCTGGGTTCGGATCCCAGCCACGCACTGATGCACCACTTGTCAAGCCATGCTATGGCGGCATCCTATATAAAGTGGAGGAAGATGGACACAGATGTTAGCCCAGGGCCAGTCTTCCTCAGCAAAAAGAGGAGGATTGGCATGGATGTTAGCTCAGGGCTGATCTTCCTCACGAAAAATAAATAAATAAATAAATAGAATAAAGTTCATAGTTAAATGAGGACACGTTGAAAATAAAATTATAGGCCGGCCCCGTGGCTTAGCGGTTAAGTGCGTGCGCTCCGCTTCTGGCGGCCCAGGTTCGGATCCCAGGCTCACACCGAGGCACCACTTCTCCGGCCATGCTGAGGCCGCGTCCCACATACAGCACCTAGAAGGATGTGCAGCTATGACATACAACTATCTACTGGGGCTTTGGGGGAAAAAATAAATAAATAAAATTATAAAAAAAAAAAGAAAAGAAAATTATAGTTACTTTATTAACATAAAGTTTATAACTGTATAATGTACCAATATTAAAATATATATTTTTGGCATTATCATATTCTGTGAAAAATGGCAAAATAATTTTTAAAATTCCTAGATGGATTCATGGGCATTTACGTACTTGAAAGGAGTGCAACTATTCAAGATCAAGGAATACTGTCCTTTTGCACTGTATCATTTACTTCTTTTTTCCCATCTTTATTCAAGTATAATTGAAAACAAAATTTATATATATTTAAAGTGTGTGATGATGTTTTGATACATATATACATTGTGAAATAATCCCCACAATCAAGCTAATTAACATATCCATCACCTCACATAATGACCATTTCCTTTTCTTTCTTTCTTCTTTTTTTTTTTTGTGAGGAAGATCAGCCCTGAGCTAACATCTGATGCCAATCCTCCTCTTTTTTTTTTTTTCCGCTGAGGAAGATTGGCCCTGGGCTAACATCTGTGCCCATCTTCCTCTACTTTATATGGGATGCCACCACAGCATGGCTTGACAAGTGGTGCGTTGGTGCGCCCCCCGGGATCCGAGCCTGAGAACCCCGGGCTGCCAAAGCCAAGCGTGCGCACTTAACCACTGTGCCACTGGGCCGGCCTCTCTTTCTTTTTTTTTTTGTGGTGAGAACACCAGATCTACTCTCGAGCAAATTTCAAGTATACAATACAGTATTGTTAACTATAGTCACTTTGCTGTAAAATATATCTCCAGAACCTATTCATCTTGCATAACTAAAACTTTGTATCCCTTGACCAGCATCTCCCCATTTCCCTCTTCCTTCCACCTCTGGAAACCACCATTCTATTCTCTGCTTCTATGAGTTTGACTGTTTTAGATTTTACATATAAGTGAGATCATGCAGTATTTGTCTTTCTTTGTCTGGCTTATTTCACTTAGATAATGTCCTCCAGGTTCATCCATGTTGTGAAGATGGCAGGTTTTCCTTCTTTTTAAAGGCTCAATAATATTCCATTGTATATACATACACCACATTTTCTTTATCCATTCATCTATCGACTTACTTACTTTCAGTGTAATACATTTCCTTTTCTAGCAAAGGAACCAGGCTTGTTGTTCTCATTTAAAGCCAACAGAGGGAGGAAATAAACCACTCCCCTAAACCCCCATCCTTAGCCCCAGACTTCATCTCCTAGGAGCTACAAGCTAAAGACTGGGTGGATATTTCTAGTGGTCTTAAAAATATCAATGGAGGGGACATCATCTGATCCAAGATAATATTTAATTTCCAGAAAGATTCTCATTAGGCTCTAGCCCTAATAAAACAAGGCTGTAAACGAGGGGGTAATATGGTGCAGTAGAAAGCGGATGGGAGTCAGACTACTTAGTTCTGCCCCTAAATCACAGTGGCCTCTCTCTAGTGTCCAGTTTCCTAATCTGCAAAATGATGGGGTTGGATCAAATTAACTCAGAGGCCCTTTATAGTCTATTTTTATTTGTTTTGGGACTGTGGGCCTCCATGAAATGTCAGAACCACCAAAAAAGCAAAAAAAAGTAAAATCCACTTTGAGGTTCCATTAGATTTAGATGTTTCACTGTTTCTTGTTCCAGAGTCAAACCAGGAATCAAAAGAAGTGAGAGATCATTTGACCTTGTGCCTTGCCTCATTCACTAGCAAAGACATTCAGTGCTAGCACAGGAAAGTGGGCAAACAACTGGACTTTCCTTTCTTCTAGCTGTCAGCTGTGCAGGAGATGGTTTTACCTCTACCTTCTGAGAATGGAGAAAAAATAAATCCCACAGTACAATTCACCACAGGGCTATTTTTCTGAGATGTGTGAGCTGACAGACGCCTGACTTCTAGTGGCTTAGCCTTGTGGGGCCCTTTGGTTTGGCCAGTAGCAAGCCTCCCTGGATCTGAGTGGTTTAAAAACTGGAGAGGGCCTGACATGCTAGAGATAAAAAAAAGCATGAAGCAGATCTAGAAATGGTGAACCAAGGGAGGGGAGTTTGCATAGAGCAGTCAGGAAGAGACACTGAGGCTGCTGAGCATCAACAGCAGTGTCTTCAGGAAGGTTCCACTTCAGATTCTCAGTTTAGCCAGACCTCAGAAGGAGCTCCTGCTGAACCTGTTGCTTGGAGACAAGGCAGATCTAGTTTCTAAAGATAGTATCAAGCACTGTTTAAATTGTAACTGGATGAAACAACCTGCTAATATACATATATGCACTCATAGTATCATATTTAAATGGTACTTGTGGATTATATCTTTAGACACCTGACTTGCAAATTTTCTTCATTTTCAATTTCTCAGTCTATCAGAAATGTTAACTATATCCCTCAAGATTCAGCCAAAAGATAAAAAGTCTAACATGAGTTAATAATGTAGCAAGTGATAGCTCATAGTGCTCTTTCTGCCCCAGAGGAACATAAAATGTAGCCTCACATTATAATTTTTATAAATTCAATTTCCCAAGAACTTCAGTACTGCCTTAAATCCATTTTCCTTACCCAGTTCAATTCTATGTATTATTTTTCTTTTCTAAAATGAAAATAAAAGAAATAGAGAAAAGATTTCTTCCAAATTAATGCCAAAATGTTTTATTAAGCAATAAGATGAAGATTTCTCTTTTAAGATCAGGGAATGTATTTTGGGGAGAAAAAAAGCGGCATCTACAAACTGTGCACCAGAGGGGCTGCATGTAAGTGGGGTATGTGTTTCCTTTGCTGAGTGGTATCTCCCAGAAAATGAAATAGTCCCAGAGTGAGAGGAATTTTCATGATAGGAAAAAAAAACAAACAGGGTGGTGTGATTTGAGGAACATGGAACAGAAAGCATGAAGGCCTAGTTTTCTTTACTAACCCTGAAATCCATTTTGAAATTGTTCTATTAATTCATTTTTGGTTTATTGATATTGAAGGCAATTATTAAAGTGCAAATATTTCTAATGAGACTTTAGTCTCTTTCTCATTTTCGTTATTTGATACCTAAAGTCATTACTCTATCAGTTCCTTTTCTGAGAACCAAAGAGAAGCAAAGAACAACTTAAGTTTTGCTGAATGAAAAGGGAAGATAAACTGCTCGTCAGTCCTGGAACAAAAATGATACAGGGGACAAAGATCTTCTTAAGAATCCTATCCTTTACTTTTATTTTAATTTCCTTACCATTTTATGAGTCTTATACTCTATTAAGAACAACTTAATGAATTTCACTCATATTGCCTCTAAGAAACAAGCTACGGTGTGGGCCAAAGTGTAGCCCCAGAACCGTGAACATATAAATCCTGCAGTCTCAGTTCAAGTTCCACCTCCTTCCTGATTCCTGCAAGGTTAGGCAATCTCTCTCTCCTCCTATCTCTTATAGCATATGATCTATACTTTCTTCTGACTCTTATCTCATTCAATATTATATTATGTAAAAATCCACTCTCTCCTACTACATTAAAGGTACCTAAGAACAGGATCTATTTCTGGTTTATCTCTATCATCCCATACTGGGAACAAAAAGTACAGATTGAACAACTTAAAGAACCTAACAGAAAAAAAACCAAACAAACCCTTAATACAAAGTTAACTTATATAGATGACAGTATTGTTCTCCCCAACTAACCTTTAAAAGATATAATAAAAATGTATTAGGTGTCTAAAGTAAAAATAAACAAAACACAGCAATGACAAAATTATTCTGTGACTTTAGGTTTGTACACCTGACTATTCTATTTTTTACACACTCATAAGACTTATCAATACTTCAAATTAGATACAGTATGCTATGCTTCATTTAGTAGAAAGTAAAAACCATAAATTTTTACCATATCAGACACAAGAGAAAATTCCAAATCCAAGGTCAATTCCCAGAAGAAATATGAATCCACCAATATGAGTGGCTGCCCTGCATGATTTGCCAGTAGAATGTTTGCACATCAAAGAAGCTGTTGCTAGGTGAACGCATCACAGAGGTCCAAGGAAGGGGAAAGGGACCTCCTAGAGTGATATAGTAAGACCTGTGGATCCTTCCCTGATTAATGAAGTGAAAACACAAAGTGGTTTCATCAAGCACTAGTGAACTTAAGAAATTTTAAGAAAGTGATCCCATCGAAAGTAAACATTCTAGCAAACATGAAACTCATGTTTTGGGTCTTTCTTTTGTGAAATTCTCGGAACAGCTCAAATTTTTGTACTCCAATACCTACACCTCATCAAGGAAGAAGTACTTTGAGAAGAGGAAAAAAAACGATGATCCCATCTACTATTCCTAAAGCAAAACATGATTTGTCTGAAAAACTGGTATTCTTTTATTTTTTTATTTTTTTTAATTTTTGTGAGGAAGATCAGCCCTGAGCTAACATCCATGCTAATCCTCCTCTTTTTGCTGAGGAAGACCGGCTCTGAGCTAACATCTATTGCCAATCCTCCTCCTTTTTTTTTCCCCCAAAGCCCCAGTAGATAGTTGTATGTCACACTTGCACATCCTTCTAGTTGCATGCCGCCTCAGCATGGCCGGAGAAGGAGTGCATCGGTGCCTGCCCGGGATCCGAACCCAGGCCGCCAGTAGCAGGGCGCGTGCACTTAACCGCTAAGCCACAGAGCCGGCCGGAAAAACTGGTATTCTAATTCTAGGGAAATACTTTTACACCAGAGGAAGTATGTCCCTATTATGTATTCTTGATACCAGAATCACTAGGATTATACTTCAAATATCATCTCATCTAGTGGTTCTCAACCCTGCCTGCACATTACAATCTTACAGAAAACTTCAAAAAATATTGATACCCTGACCCTACCCCAAGTAATTGGGGTACAGTGGCTTAATTGGTCTACAGTGCAGCCTAGGCATAAATATTTTTTAAAAGCTACACAGGTAATTCTAATGTGACTTTAGGGTTGAGAACGACTGTCCCACTATCTTCATTTATATATGATAAAAATGAGGCAGGGAGAAATTAAGTGATAGTCATAGGAATGAGAGTAATAGTTAAGAACTAAACCAGGAAAATAAGAAATATTCTTTTTTTCCTCTAAAGCTAGATTTTAAAAATTACATTCCCAAGCAGCAGAAATATAAGTACGAACAAGACAAGAAATTTCTTATAAAGCTTACATTCTGGTGGAAAAAGAAAAAGATAGTAAACAAGTATATAAATAAATAAAATCATTTTAGATAGTGTTAAGTACTGCGAATAAAACAGGCTAATGTTACAGTAATGAGGAGGTAAATGAGGGGGCAACTTTTTTTTTTTAGAATTTTTTTTATTGAGGTCATAGTAGTTTATAACATTGTGAAATTTCAGTTGTACATTATCATTTGTCAGTCACCATATAAATGCACCCCTTTATCCCTTATAGCCACCCTCAATCCCCTTCCCCTCTGGTAACCACTAATCTGTTCTCTCTGTCCATGGGTTTGTTTATCTTACACATATGAGTGAAATCATGTGGTGTTTGTCTTTCTCTGTCTGGCTTATTTCGTTTAACATAATACCCTCAAGGTCCACCTTTGAGGATGGCTGAGTAGTATTCCATTGAATATATATACTACATCTTCTTTAGAGCAACTTTTCATAATGTAATCAAAGAAGGCCTGTTTTGGATATATTAACACAAATTAAACTATATTATACATTTTATTGGATAACCTGCCTTTATCATTAAACAATCTGTGAAAGTTATCTTACAGTGTATCTATAGATAAATATCTATTGTTCCTTTAACAAATGCATCCATCCTGATGGAGATTTTATTGTTTTTTATTATTGAAATCAATGCTGTGAAGAACACTTTTATACATGTATCTTTGTGTATGTGTGTAAATATTACTTGGATAAATTCCAAGAAATAGAATTACAAGGTCTAAGAAAGCACACATTTAAGGTTTTGATAGATATTATCAAATTACCATCAAAAAGTTTGTAAAAATGGAGCTTCTGCCAAAAGGATACACATTTTTTCAAGCAACTGCCATTAAGAACATTTGAATAAACATATTTTGTCTTTCTATTCTCTGCAGAATGATCGCTTCTCAGTCTTTATCTTATTTGCCCACTCTGCAGTATATTTGACAGAATTAATTACCCCTTTTCCCATGAAACACTTTCTTCACTTGTCTTCTCAGGCTGCGTGCTCTCGTGGTTTTCTTTGTGACACACTGGACTCTCCTTTTCAATCTTCCTCCTGGTTTTTCCTCATCCCCCTGAATTCTAAACACTGATGTGTCCTTGGGATCAGTCCTTTGTCCTCTCTCCACCTACACCCATTCCCTTCATGGGTTCTCATCTAAGCTCATGGATTTAAATATCATAGCTCTCATTTCAATGAATATCACTTAGACATTTGGATGTCTAAGAGGCATCTAAAAACATTTGAAACTGAATTAAACCAAAAAACCTGGTCCGTCCAGTGTAACCTTATTTCAACTCAGTAATGGCAACTCCATCTTTCCAGTTGCTGAAACCAAATCCTTGCTTTCTTTCTCTTATACCCTAACTTCCTCTCTTTATTTAGGTTTCTGCTCAAGTCAGATTCCCCAGAGAAACCTCTCTTACCACATTTCTAAAATAGCACCCTCCTGCCTCTGCCACCATTCCCTATGCTCTTAGCTTGCCTATCCCTGTCTCCCCCACCAGAACATTAACTGAGGGCAGGAACTTGGTTGGTTCTCTACAGTATCTCCAGCACCTAGAGCAGCGTCTTTTATTGGCGCAGTAGCCACTCAATAACTATTTGCTCAACAAATGAATGAATTGTATATGTCACACAAAGATATTATAGTTGAAAACCAGGCTGTTGAGGTGGCAGAGGCAATGCATTTAGAGATGAAACATTCGGGTTTGGGGCTTGTCCCAGGCAGAACTAGGCAGCTTTGGGCAAGTTATCCTTCAAAGTCTATTTCTCCATCTGTAAGTTGTGGTTTATGTCATCTTCCTCAGCAAACAAGAGAGCTGAAGTAGTCAATATCTATTGGGTATTAAAAGCCACAAAAGTTTCACTACTTGCAATTTACTGGGAACATTTGCTTCAATTTTCCTCTTAATTTCACTTGTTCAGGTATAACATAATGTGAGGTTATGTGTTCAGAGGTCCTTATATTATTAAGTTATTACATGTTACTAAGTTGTATCTCTAATGTGTCCACTAGTGCAAACTTTAAGATTGATAAAGCAAAAGCAATTAAAAGAAAAAAACTCACCAAAGATTCTCTATTATGATGATGGTTGCACAACTCTGTAAATATACTACAAATCATTGACTTGGACATTTAAACTGGTTGAATTTTATAATATGTAACTTATACCTCAATAAAACTGTTAGTAAAACAAAAAAGAGAGTCTCTAATTATATATATGGGGCTACTGTAAAATATCCTCAGAATTTAGGAATAAGACAAAAGCCACCCGGGGCCAGCCCTGTGGCGTAGCGGTTAAGTGCACGTGCTCCGCTGCTGGCGGCCTGGGTTCAGATCCCAGGCGCGCACTGACGCACTGCTTGTCAGGCCATGTTGTGGCGGCGTCCCATATAAAGTGGAGGAGGATGGGCACGGATGTTAGCTCAGGGCTGATCTTCCTCACAAAAAAAAATATTTTTATTTTTTAATAAATATATAATATTTATTATATTTAATAAATGAATCCAGTTCAACAGATGAGCTCTGCCCTTACTTCCTAGAGGCCACCCTAAGAAATGGTTTATAAAGAAACCCAGGGGCTGGCCCGGTGGCACAAGTGGTTAAGCGAGTGCACTCGGCTGTGGCGGCCCGGGGTTCGCTGGTTCGGATCCCGGGTGCGCACCGACGCACCGCTTGTCAGGCCATGCTGTGGCAGCATCCCATATAAAGTAGAGGAAGATGGGCACGGATGTTAGCCCAGGGCCAGTCTTCCTCAGCAAAAAAAAAGAGGAGGATTGGCAGATGTTAGCTCAGGGCCGATCTTCCTCACAAAAAAAAAAAGAAACCCAGATGTTTGGTCAAGTCCAAAGTGACCTGAACAAAATCACTATCTTGAAGAGATATTTGCACCCCATGTTCATTGCAGCATTATTCACAATAGCCAAGACATGGAAACAACCTAAGCGTCCATCGATGGAAGAATGGACAAAGAAAATGTGATACACACATATATGTGTGTTATTCATCCATAGAAAAGGAAGTCTTGCCTTTTAGGACAACATGGATGGACTTTGAGGGCATTATGCTAAGTGAAGTAAGTCAGAGCAAGACAAATATTGTAAGATATTACTTATATGTGGAATCTAAAAATACTGAACTCATAGAAATAGAGTAGAATGGCGGTTGCCAGGGGTGAGGAGGTAGGGGCTATGGGGAGATGTTAGTCAAAGGGTACAAACTTACAGCTCTAAGATGAATAAACTTTGGGGATCTAAAGTAGAGCTGGTGACATAATTAACAATACTGTATTAGGTACTTGAAAGTTATGAGAGTAGATCTTAAGTATTATCACTACACACACAAAAAAGTTAATTATGTGAGGGGATGGAGGTGTTAACTAACCTTATTGTGGTAATCATTTCAAAATATACACATGTATAACATTACCACCTTGTACACCTTAAGCTTACATATCTTATACGTCAACAATACCTCAATAAAGCTGGGGAAAAAAGCAAAGTGACCTGAACAATTTATCTTCAGAACTATCTTGTGGGGGTGGGGGTGGGGGGGGCGGGGCTTAGCCGTTAAGTGCCTAAGCTCGCTACCTACGGCCCCAATTCGGATCCTGGGTGCACACTGATGCACCGCTTCCCCCGCCATGCTGAGGCCACGTCCCCCATACAGCAACTAGAGGGATGTGCAGCTATGACACACAACTATCTACTGGGGCTTTGGGGAGAAAAAGGGAAAAAAAGGAGGACTGGTAATAGATGTTTGCTCAGGGCTGGTCTCCCTCAGCCAAAAGAGGAGGATTGGCATGGATGTTGGCTCAGGGCTGATCTTCCTCACAAAAAACAAAACAAACAAAAAAAACCCAAACAACAA